AAAAAAAAAAACAAGATATCTTGTGTTGTACCAGCTTTGCTAATCCTAAGTTCTATTCTATTCAACACAAAACGTGTTTCAAAAACATTTTGGTCACAAAAAAAGCTTAACGATAAATAAACAAGTGACATCAAATACCAGGTGAAACAAGAGACGAAAATTGATACCAAAAAAAGACACACGTTCAAGCCTTGTGACACATTAATTAAACCGTTGGAGAGTAAGAACCTTCTGGAAATCATATCCTATAGGGAGTGTAAGCACATGATCAAACCACTCAACTGTCCCCCAAATTTCACGACTATTACGCCTTTCAAGTGCAATCACCGCACACAAAACCAATGAACCATCTTCCTATTAACGAAACAATGCCCATCCCATCGCAAACGCTCATCCCAAAAAAACCGCCGTCTTTCCACCATAATCAGCAAATGTAACACTGGTATTAATAAGGGAACTTAGGCAGTCCTACCAAACCCTTCAAATCTCTCCATTTGTTTCCCTTAGCGTCATACCATCTGAAACCTCCGTGAACTCTGTCTTTCTCGTGAAAAGCATGATACAAAACATTCTCTATAACGCAAGAAGAAGAATCTGATACCGTATAGGGCCACATATCGCAATCTTCAAGCATGTCCCATCTACCACCTTCCTTGGGATCGTAAGCAAACACCTCGCCCACAACTCTCACGAGGAACTTTCCGTCAATACATGCGCTTGTGTTGGATAATGTGTCTCGTGTCCCGATGTAAGGAATGGGCTTAGGATCCCAAATTTGTGTTTTTGTGTCAAACACCTCGAACGAGCTCTTCAAGGAATGATGGCCATCTTTGTAGAATCCAGCTACATATATCTTTTCGTCAAGGACACTAGCAGAGTTTTTCAATAGCTCCACATGCAAGCTTGGACCCTCGTGCCACGTGTGAGACTTGCAATCCAGAATAGAGACCCGAGAGGAGGACTCTCCTTGGCGATCCGATCCAATGCTGTAGACATTAGAACCAACCGCCACAAGACCCCAAACGTTGGCAGGAGGAGAAATGAGGAATTGGGACTGGGGCCAAAGCATACCCACTTGACATGTTCTGACTGGTGTCATTGGTTAGGGTTTGATTAGGTTTCAGGCAGAGGGTGTACCATAAATATTCACCAAAGTGCCGAAAGGACACATAGAGACAACGCTCGGTGCAGCCCAAGAGTGACCGGGCCTTGTAAAGCTCCGGTGAAGCAAGGAGAGATCGAAAGCTCTTGGACACGAGGGAGAGAGAGTTGAATAGTACAACCTTGAGACGCGTGCGATGCATTTCAATACCAAATCATATGGAAGTGATGCAATTGGGTTCGATTGTGGCGTCGTCGTTGTCTTCCTCTTCTTCTTTTCTAAGGAAGACATTGAGGAGACAAACAAAAAGAAAAGAAACGAAACACCACCTCTCCAATGAATCGGTTTCACCGCGGCCAAAAGTAAAAACGTAACAAGTCTTTTCGGTTCAATCATTTATAACATGTCTTATGTTAAATTGTTTCGTACTAAACCGGAATTTTACGAAAAAGTGATTATATCTAAACTCTAC